CCTGTATATCACTTTGAACCTGTTTCATACATTCTATTTCTTTCTTAAATTGTTTATTCAGGGATTCCATCATTTTTATATTCTGCTCTATTTTTTTTATCAGTGTATTCTTTAGAAGCACTTAGTACTTCTTTGATTATAGTTACATTTTTTAGTCCCGAAATTATTTCTGATCTGATTTCTTCTATCAAGTAACAGTTGATTCTTTACTGTCAATGCTATTATTTCCGAGATATCTAGCATGTGATTTCCAGTTTCCTCAGTGTCAGTGATAGTGTCTTCTGCAGTTGTACTGGGTGGACTTGGGGCCTGAGACTGCATTTTGTTCCTTCTCTTTGTCATTTTGTATACGGCTGTCTTCTGACCTTTGGTGTAGAGCTTGGATAGAGTTATTACCTTAGCACGAGGTCTGGATCCACGAAGTTCAGATTCCTCCAGGTGGGTGTTGCTTGGATCTGGCTGCTGTGCTCCACTTCTTTCTGCTGCAGCCGTTAGAGTTGAACCCTTTGTGTCTCTCTGGCAAGATGTTCTGCCCCTGAATCAGCTGGGTGGGTCTTGCCTCTAGTCTCTTTGCAGGGAGTTCTGCTGAAGGGTTCCGTGCTGGGCCTGCGCTCTGGGTCTATTCAGGATCCCGTGGGCGCGGTCGTCTCACTCACTGGCCCGGCCTGCGCTCTGGGTCTATTCAGGATCCTGCCAGGCCCTGGGTCATCTCACTCACTTGCTGGCCTGCGCTCTGGGTCTATTCAGGATCCTGAGGGCCCCAGGTCGTCTCACCTTTTTTTTTTTTTGGTGGTACCAGAGATCAAAATCAGGACCTTGTACTTGCTATCCCCCTATTAAGTTATTTTAAATGAATCCTTATCATTTACTTATTTATCACTTGCTTGCAATATCAGGAATGGAACCCAGGGATTTTGCGCTGAGCTACATTGCCAGCCTCTATTTGTATTTAAGATAGTTTCAAAATTAAAGTGGCCCATATGCTGGGTCTGACTTGTAATCCTCCTGTCTATGGCAGGACACTGGCTTAATCTTTGTTTTTATCTTGCGGCTTCTGTCTTGTTA